CACACACACACACACACACACATACACACACACACACACAAAATCAGTCTTTGCATCTTAGCATTAATTTATTGGAAAATATATGGGGTTTGGGAGGTATAGCTTCATGGTACAGCACCTGTCTAGCATGTGTGATGTGTGAGGCTCTGGGTTTGACCCCAAGAACTGCAAATAACAATAGTGATAATGAAGAAATTAATCCTACCTACAAGTATAGCAAAGTCATACATTAAGTAGGGCTCATCAAAAGAAAATTATAAAACTCTACCCACAAGCATCAGAGAAAACTTAAAATCAATGAAGAGTTGTAATTTATCATTGGTTAGAAAACCTCCACGAGGTAAAGAAGTCATGGCTCTGCAAATAAGTCTATAAACTGAATGTAACCCTCTCAAAAATGAGGGAAGGTACAAAGATTTAACAAAAACATACTTCCAACATGAGCTAGGAGTGGCTAGGAAAATGCTACAAGAAGGACCTAAGCAGGAATTTCTAGTTCTCCCCCATGCTAAAGTGTGATAAAATGTTAGTAATGGAATGATAAGTGAATCCCTACGGTGGCTTAGAGAGTCCAGAAATAGACCCAAAATATATAAGAAGTTACAGAGGCTAGGAAGGCCCTTTACAAATCAGTGAGGGAAAATATAAACCTCTAGCCATTTGGGAAAGAAAACTAAGGCAAATTACTCCCTCATTCCTTCCAACAACATCAAAGTCTGAGTTTTCCAAAATTTTAACATGAAAAATAAGTTCACTGAGATATTTTAAAAACTTTGATTTATATTTGCAGTACGCTTTTATTGGGAAAGACTTTGCTAAGCATGGCGAGATAGTTAGAAATCCTGATGATAAATATTGCCAAATGCAATTATATTAAAAATTCAAGTTAGGCCTGGTGCTGCATGCCTGGAATCCCAGTGACTTGGGAAGCTGAAACAGGAGGATTATAAATTCAAGGGCAGCCTTCAAAAGTGAATGAGAACCTGCCTCAAAATAAAAAATGAAAATAAAAAGGGTTAGAGATATAGCTCAATACAAAGGCCCCAAGTTGGCCTGCTAGTAACACACACACACACACACACACACACACACACACACACACACTTGCATTTCTGCAAACCATTCCTCCACTATAAACAAAGCTAAAAGACAAAGTATAGAGGTAAATATTTGCAACATTAACCAACAGCTGAAGATTAATAGTCTCACTGTGAAAAGAGACTATCAATGTGAAAAAGATAAACATCTCAAAAGAGAACTGTATACGTACATACACAGAGAAAACTGGAAAGTTTTCATGGTTGTCTCTGGGGGGTGAGTTTTTATATAAAGTTCATTCTTTTCTTTTATGTTTTTCTCTATCATTTAATTTGTATACATGGATCTGTATTTTCTTTACAATCAGAACAATATCTTCCTGCCATTTTAATTTAACATGAAAAATGAGGAAGAATTGGATATTGTCTGGGCAGATGCTTCCTGGGTGTGTGTTCTTGCACTCAGCAGCTGTCAGCTCTGCCTTTGTATGTGTACATGGTCTTTCTTAAGAGACCAGGAGGTTCTTGAGTCAGCTCTCAGGATTCCAGCAAGGAAATAGGGACACTTTTAACAGTCTTACAACCCAGGCCACGTCATGTCCAATGAAGCCATTATCCTGTTAAGCCAGCAACTCTGCCTGGACAGACATCAGTATTTTGAAAGCTCCTCTGGAGATTTCAGTGTGCAGCAAGGATAGAGAACCACTGAGCCAGAAGCAATTTGGGCCTCTGTGCAGATAAGGAGCCTGTCTGTGTTCACAAGGTTCTGAACACAGGGATTCTCTCAGTCCTGGTCAGTGAATATGTTGGAGACTGGTAGAAAGGACAGTTCTGAAACATACCAAAGAACAGCAAGGCAGATTGTCCAGTGGAGATTTAAAATGAAGACTTTGACTAGAAGGGGGCAAAGTGTGTGTTTGTGAGTGTGTGCATCTATACATCTTTTTCTTCCACTATTCATGGTTCTATTTTTCTCCATCTTAGGGCTACAGAACAGGCTACACATACCGCCACCCCTTTGTCCAAGAGAAAACCAAACACAAAAGTGAGGTGGAGATCCCAGCCACGGTCACAGCCTTTGTGTTTGAGGAGGATGGTGCCCCAGTGCCTGCCTTGCGGCAGCATGCTCAGAAGCAACAGAAAGAGAAGACCCGTTGGCTGAACACACCCAATACCTACCTGAGGGTCAATGTGGCGGATGAAGTCCAGAGGAGCATGGGAAGCCCCCGGCCCAAGACCACAGTAAGGGGGAACGCAGGCCAGCCCTGGGAGGAAAGGAAAGCTGCGCAGGTGGGAGAGCAGCTTTGCAAGGGGAAGAAAGCCGACCTTCCCTGCACATAGTTCTGTGCACTTAGGGCTCCATTTCAGGACCTTGGAAGCAGCTGCTTGGGTCCTCTTTCTTGCAGCTCTGCTCTGAGTTGTTAGGGCTGAGGGCAGGCTTCTCCAGAGGGCAGCCAGATGAGTCCACTCCCAGCAGCACAAGACCCAAGAGCAGTTGGGTTTTTGCTTCTTGCTTTCATGTCCTGAGAGGGCTTCTGGGAAATTCCAGGGATGGACATCCAACATTTGGACGCTAGGTCTAATGAAACCCAGGAGATGGGAGGTGGTGTCACTTGTATTAAGTTACCTTCTCTCGGTTTTCTCCCTCTTCCTTTCTATGTACATATAGACCCACAGTTTGATTTTTCATTAACATAAAAGCACACAGAATAGCTCTGCATGAAACATGAGACTTAAAACTCAAATCCAGTTACCTGACATTGAAAGTCCCATGGTTATATTTCTAAGATGCTTATCAAGGGTCTGAGCACTGCTCTGCTCTGCCATGTTCTTTACAGTTTGAAGGCCTTTGTGGCAGTTGGGTCATCTGTCAGCCATCTCTACTCTGGGAGACTTTAATGAGGCCCAAGAAGAGAGAATATCTATGAACAGCCTAGTTGACCTTCCACGTAGGCTGGTGGACCCAGATTTCAATGGGTGGACCCCTAATGAGGACTGTGGTTTTATTCCTTTGCCTCACCCACTGACCTTGCATTTATAGTGGATGAAGGCTGATGAGGTAGAAAAATCCAGCAGTGGCATGCCAATCCGGATCGAAAACCCAAACCAATTTGTGCCTCTCTACACTGACCCTCAAGAAGTGTTGGACATGAGGAACAAGGTGAGGTGGTGGCTGCCTGTCTCTCTCTTCTTCACAAGGGGCTCTCAGGTCCTGCAGATGTGGCCTGAGTCTCCAGTAGTCACAGGAGAAAGATGCAGCTACTTATGGGCAGGTTTATGGCATACTCTTCTCAGACACTGTGCTAAGGGCTGTACCTATGCCATCCTAGATAACAGTCGATATGCCATCCATTAAATGAGTTATTATAGAGAAAAAAATGAGTTATTATAAATTTTATACAATTTTCCTTTTGGCTTATTTTTAAGACCTTCTGTCTATATCTCTGGACTTATGTCTGACAGTTCACCCACTTATACCCTAATGTTACCTTAAAATCAGACTTGTAGCAGAATACCCCAGTAGGTTGATAGCTCCCAGAACAGTATGCAATGCTCATTGCAGATTTTGGGGTTACTACATCCCAACCTCCTCTCAGGATTTATTTATTTTTTTTCAAAATTTTATTGATAAACAGCAATGAGACAGTTTCAAATCAAATCGGAAGTACAGTTTCAACAAATAACACACTGCATATATTCTTCTTAGTCCTCTCAGGATTTAGATGTAAGAGATGTGAGTGGTCCCACTAATATATATTTAAAGCAAATTTCTCAGGGCCTTTTTGGGAATATTAAAATATGAGACCCTCCCTCAAGGGTCTCATGGGCCTTTTCCCTCATATGGCTCCTCAGAGTTCATGGAAATCTAGTGTTTCACATGAGCAATGAATTCACTCTGGACCAGGCATGGGGACTATCTAGGAGCAGACAGATTGTGTTAGAATAGTAAAGGGCCCTGGGGGGCCATTAACCACCACAATTGCAGGACACACTGGACCTCGGTGTGCTCCCTGGCAAACTCCACACACTGATGTCAAGCCCTGCCTTTCCATTTTCCACACAGATTCGAGAACAAAACCGACAAGACGTGAAGTCAGCAGGGCCTCAGTCCCAGCTCCTGGCAAGTGTCATCGCTGAGAAGAGCCGAAGCCCGGTACAGCAGAGGCCTCCCCTTGCTGGATGGGAAGCGTGTTTGCCTTCTGGGTCTTCTCAGCAGGACCCCTGATGCGAAGCCCACCCTCCCCTGTGATCGTGGGCATTGGTGCTCTTGCTGCAAAGTGGAGGCCCACCTCACAGGGAAGCTTGAGGTTCTGGGAGGACAGTGTCTTATCATTCTCTGTGGGCACCAGGCAGGAGGCTGCAACCCAGCCTGCCTACAGGGTTGCTGCTGGCCAGCTCCCTGCCTTCCACCATGGACTCTACTTGGCCCCCTATTAGTACCTCGCAGAGAGCAGGGGGCTCCCAGGTCCCACATGTTTCTGACTCTTGAATATAGCATCATCAGCCAGAGCTTTGGGAAGATGCTGTTGACCCACAGAGAAGGGAGTGTAGATAGGCAGAGGGGGTCTCCTACATATTGGGAAGGGCACTTAGCTGCCTACACAAACCCGCTTAGAGTTAGATAGCAGAAAGCCATTGCTTTTGTGTATGAGATAGATGGTGTTTTGTCTAGTGCTTAGCAATAAGAGTGAAGTTCAGAATCCTGGCTTGAGTTAAAATCATCTCTGCTCATGACAAGGGAGCAATGGGCATGTGTGGGATTTTCCTTAACAGTAAGGAGTGAAAAACTATGGGAAATGTTACTCTCCATGAGCAAATCAAGGTGATATGGCAGTTTTAGATCAGGCTGCAGCCAATAAAGTAGGGTCTGCTGGCAGGAGAAGGGCGAGCATCATATCTGCATATCTACCTCCCACCCACCCAACTCAAGCCAGACAGGGTCACTGATGTGCCAAAGAGTCAAGGGTAGACATAGCCCATGACTCTAGGGGAGGTACACAGTCAGTACAGTGAGCAAAACTGTCAAGACTCAACTCTTCTATTTATACCTGGTGCTCTCCTGGGAGTCCTTTTTGGGACCTTTTGGATTCTCCTTGGCTCCACAATGCCTCATAATAGGCTGACTGCTGCCTCCCTTTTGTAAAGAGATGGTGGGCCTGTCCTCAGAAGACCTGGCCACTCCAGATTGCCCTTCTCTTGGCTTCCCTTTCCTTTGCTTCCCCTCTGCTTCAGGCCACTGCATTTTCAAAGGCTCTGATAAGGATACTCAACTAAGGAAAAGGGTTGTGGAGCTTGAATTTGAGTGTCTATTCTGGGCTAGAAGTGTCAGAGAGTTCCTAAAACTTACACAAAATCCAACTGGCAGTGTTCCAAGGCCAAGGGCCCCACAGAGGTGGTGAAATGGAGTGATTTTGTCACAGTCCCCATAGAGACCCACATTACAGGCGGGCTGAAGATCTGAGATTCAGGACCTTGACCCCTTTTAATTTATGATGGAGTGTAAAATGACTGCTTGGACTGAGAATGCTGAAGCTGCTGTGTTTTGCAGATGACTTATGCTGTGTGCTGTGGTTTGCGCTGCTGTTGGGGACAGGGTGGGGGGTAGTGGTGGGAGTGGCTGGCTTGAAGCTTGCTCGAGCCAAAGCTATGCTTGCTGGGCTTTGGCTGACTGACTTTGGGCCACCAACTGTATTTGCATTAGTACCAGATTGGAGTATCCATAGAGGGATTGCAATAAAGGTGCGTCTTCCTTCTGCTTGGGAGCATCCTTTGATTTTATTTCAGGGGCAAAGGGTAGATCCCTGTATTCATCCAAACAGTTGCAAATTCTGAGTCTGGGCATGAGGTAGCCATGGGGCAGAATGAACGATCCCTGCCCCTAGGGCCTGAGCCGTTTCCAAGGAGCTGCATGCCTCGCTATCCCTAACAAGACTGCTGGCAGCCACCTGAGTCTGAAAGGAAGCTCAGGCCCCGGCCCATCTGCGACACACACTCTGTGGTTAACTTTCAGTCTACAGAGAGCCAGCTGATGTCCAAGGGTGATGTGGATACCAAAGACGATTCAGAGGAGACGGTACCCAACCCCTTCAGCCAACTCACTGACCAGGAGCTGGAGGAGTACAAGAAAGAGGTGGAGAGGAAGAAACTAGAGCTGGATGGTAAATAACTCAGGGGCATCATGGCTTCAGAGTTTGCCAGGGTTGAGGGCAAGTACAGGACTCCCCAACAAGGATCTTCCTACCCCATCATTAAATAATGTCCCTATTAGCAGAACACTGCTAATCACAATAATGCCCTTCATTGCTCTCCGCTGAACAGGTCCACAGTGCCTTCATGACATCATTTGATGCTTTCATCTAATTATAAAATATTTAACATTTGTAAAGTGCTTAGAATGTTTATAAATATGGCTGTAAGAGAAATGTTAGCTATAACAAGGTAGTCATAATCATAAATATTGCTAATGATCTATCAGATCTGATGTAAACTTTTACCCTGGAGTCAGACCTTTGTCCATGAGCTGGACCTTTATCTCCCTTTCTCCTTTACATCAGAGAGTTCAGTCCAGCCCTTCCCCATGTTGATTCCCAAATGTCCAAATCATCACTTCTATTCCCTGGTCCATGCTTCTGTCCCTTCCTAGGACTGTTTTCTGTCTCAGCTAGCCTGTTCCAAAGTCACCAGCACTGCAGGCTCCATCTCAAATCCCCCTCCAACTAAGAAAGTCTCTGTCACCTTCCCCAACCCACCCCACCTGAGCCATCCCTCTTTGTTTCAAGAGCAGCTGGGGTGTGAGACACGTAATTGAGCTTTCAGCTGTGCCCACTCGGATAAGCTCTCTCAGGGCAGGCTTTCCCTCCTTCACCTTTCCATGCCCAGGGTCAGCCACCTTCCTGGCTTTCATGATGTTCTGATGTGCCATTTGGAAAAATAGAAGAGATGGTGCTTTTTATCTCTAGGAATTGTTTGGACAAGAAACTGTAAATTAACTAAGATAATAAATTAGGTACATTCAAACAAATCTGTGGCAGTTAGGGGGATTCAGTGGTTGTTTGGGGCCCCACTCTGACCCACTGATGCATGTATCTTGCTGACCCTCTTCCCAGCCAGGCTGTATGTGGCCACTCTTACTGCCATCTTGCCACCCAAACTCCCTCTGCCCCCATGGGTGTGCTTCAATATAGGAAACAACACTATTTAGTTCTCCCACTTGCCTCCCCAAGGAAGTAGCAGAAATGAAAAAAGAGAGCTCAGCAGGAGCAGCTAGCCACCGCCAGAAGGTCCACTGTCAGCCTGCAGCAATGAGAACCAAATTGAAAACCTCAAGTTTTTCACGCTCACTCTCTTTGCCCATCTTGATGCATTTCCAGGAGAGAAGGATGCCGCTGCAGAAGAGCCTGGCTCCCCTGCAAAGTCTGTGCCTGCTTCTCCAGCACAGAGTCCAGTGAAGACAGAGGCAAAGAGCCCCGTGGTCTCTCCTTCCAAGTCGACTGAGGGTGAGTGGAGCTGGGCGTGCTGGACGGGAGGGAGGAGCATCCACAGGCTGGAAAGATGAGGAGCCCAGGGCAGGTACCCACCTTTCGGCACATGTTATTTCTACCCCCCCCCCAACTTCCCTTCTGCTATTTCTAGGAAACCTGAACAGTTTTCAGTTTGTTTCATTCAGGAGCTATGACAATAGACCTTGCACCTTACACCCTGCTAAGCAATAAGCAAGCCAAGGCCTGAGCCTCCCCACCCCCAGCCTCCTCTCCTCCAGCCAAGACCCACTTGAGGACCTTGTTAAACTGAAGATTCTGATCCTTCAGGCCTGGGCTGGGTTCTGAAGCTCTGCATTTCCCAGAGGGAGGCTGATGTCCTTCTCAACCCCAACAGCACACTGGAGTCACCAGAGGAGCTTTAAAAGCCCTGATGCCTGGGTCTCACCCCCAGCCTTCCTGAGTTAAGTGGAAGGACAGCAGCCTGAAGTTAAGATCTCTCCAGCAGTCTCAAGTGTAGACCAGGTTGAGAACAGCTGTATCAGCTGTATCAGACACTAATTTAGAGACCTGAGGCCTAGGCTCAACTGAATTGTCAATTTTAGAATATCAAAGAACCTTTATATCTCAGTTTTCTTGTGTGCGAAATGGAGTTACTAATATTCTTCCCTTTTAAGGTTCTTCTATATATATGGGGGGCAATTGCACTTTGCAAGAATAAAAGTAAGACTTAAATGTAAGATCTAATTATGATTAAGAACATACACATGGTGGACAGTGATACACCTACACAGTAGTCCCTAGCCACTTAGCTAATGAAAGTGCCTTTAATGAGCTCCCAAATCACTCCAGGACATGCACACTCCTCTCCCGGCTCCCTGAGAGGTCCCAGTAGAGAGGGCTGCACTGCCACCAGAAAGCAGCTCATTGGTGGTCTCCCACAGTCCTCTCTCTCTTGGGTAGAATGGCCACATAGGCAGGTTCAGGTGGATCTTCGCCTTGTGCTCCCTCCATATGCCAGCTGCTGCCAGCTGCCATTGGCAGAGGAAACCCGTCTGCTTGAGGCTGCAGCCGCAAGTGGATGTGTAGTAACCATTTGTGTTCATGTGTCTCATCGTGGTGTTGTGTTGTCAACCTGTCTCCACAATGTCTTCCTTTCTCTTCCCATGTGTGCCTTCATCAAAGGAGTTTCCTCCGATTCTGAATACTTGTCTCTGTAGTAAGTATAGAGAGGTTATTTCCCACTCCAACACTTGCAATGGGGGAGGGAGGAGTTTTTCAAAGAATGTATTTCTCCCAGCTTTTTCTTTTGTGACTCACAATCCCATCTTCAGAAAGTTTCCTGGATGTAAAATTCATGACCAGTTTCACCTGCACCATGCATGGGCAAGGCTTTCTTGTGAGAGGTATAGGGCAGACATGCACAAACACACACCTGCACCCAGGGGACACACATCTAGAAGCATCAACTCCTACAGCCAGTAGGACAGTGCTATCTCCATCCCTATTCCTAATGCATAGGTGCCTTGAAGGTACCCATGATCCCTCCGAGGACTGCAGGCCAGAGTCTACATGCTCTTTGGGATCAGATGTTACATAAGGGAGCACAGAGGCTCTGGCCTTAGGACATGTGTACTAGCTGCAGGAAGGAAATCTGGGGCTGGAGAGGAGGCTCATGGGAGTAGAACAAAGGTGACCATTTATCATAAGCTCCTAGGAGGGACAGAGAGCAGGAAGAGTATGGGATGGATAGGATGACTGTTTACCCTGATATGCCCTTGTACCTGCTGTAGCAGGAGTCTTCATTTCTTCGAGTCCAAGTCCATGCTCTGGAGGAGCGTACTGTGGTTGCAGTTCTAGAACAATCATGATCCTCCCTGAAGATGCTTCTTACACTGCAGACTGCACAGGGAAGTGTGGCTGTCATGGAGCAGAACCTGCATGATGAGGGTCTGAGCTGCAGCTGTGCAGAGTGGCCAGTGTGAGGTGGGGCCGGGTGACAGCCAGCTCCCTGGGGTCAGCAGGGCTCGCACACAGGGCAGCATTTGCACTCTCATTCTTAGCTGACCCATCAGATCAGTGCTAGCTTTATTTCAACCCTCGATCACTTTGCTCTCAAATCCTCTTATGCTGACTTACCCTAGTTTATTCACTCTTTATCTGTGTCCCTGACTCCCACCCCATCAGACTCTCTGAAAGTGACTTTTTCCCCTGTATTTTAGGGAAGGGTCTACAGGGTGTTCAGGGTCTCACTACTAGATTGGACTCGTAGTGATTCTGGAGGAGACATTTTAAAATCCCCTTCCTTTACATCAATCCATCTGGCCACCTCTGCCCTCTTCTGTTTGACTAGTGCCTGGCTGACTCCTGTCCCTGCTAGCTCCATCTGCCAGTGACTCTCCAGGGTTCCTGGCTGAACTTGCAAACGAATAGACCTATATTTGACAAGAGATGATCAGCTGCATTCCTAAATAATTTAGTTATCATGAATAAGCCACTTAACGCTGCAGAAGGAAGGACTCACACACTCTTGCTCTTTGTAATTCACAGCACAATTGTCACAATAAAATGAACTAAGGAATTAAAAAGCACTTTGCAAAGCTTTACATAAGCTTTAGTTGCTCTGTACCATGTTCTCTGAACTGTGAGAACTAATACACCACTTGATGTTTTAAACTTCTAAGTTTTATGTGGTCTGTTTGCAGCACTAGATAGCTATTCAACCATGATGTGTAATAAGAACTAGTTTTATTTTGTGCTTTAGAGAAGGGTCTACAGGGTGTTTAGGGTCTCACTACTAGATTGGACTCATAGTGATCTGCCTGTTTGCAGCCTCCCAAGAGCTGGGATTACAGGTGCATGTCATCATGCCCAGTCTCAATTGCTGTCTCAGTGAGCCCTGGGGGCGGGGCCAGTACAGCAGGCCCAGGCTGGCCAGATGGCAAGTGCAGGGACTGGGGTTTGATTCCTGGTGTGCTGTGCCAGCCCTGCCCCCATGGTGTGCTGAGCTGGTGACTGATACTGGGTGTGGTGGCATGCACCTGTAATCCACTTGGGAGGCTGAAAACAGAATCACTATAAGTCTGATCTGTGTAGTGAGACCCTGTAGACCCTGTACTAAATATATTAAAAACAAACAAACAAACAAACAAACTAGTTTTATAGAAACTAGTTCTGTGAATTAACCAGAGCTGACTGGGTTTAGCTCGGTGGTTCTTTTGCTCCATGTGAGGAGTCAGTTGGGACTGAGTCAGCCAGGAACTCGACTGTTTGGGACTTCCAAGGTGGCACACTTACATGTGTAGTATCTTGGTAAGGCACCAGAAGGCTAGCTGAGCTTGGGCTTGTCTGGGACACTTGAGTGACTTTAGATCCCTTTCTCTCTGGTCTCGGGGCCTCTCCATGTGACCTTTCCACATTTCCATTGGGGATAGTTGGGCTCTATACATCATGCTGTAGGAAGCAGAGGCCGCTTGACCTTAAGTCTTTGGTCGGAGACTGGCTCTACAGCACTTCTGTATTCTAGGGCTTTTGTGAACCTCAGGGCCAGCCTGGGCACACTGTGTGTGGAGAGATCACACGAGCATGTGAATACCTGGAGCTATGGCTCACAGGTTCCATATCTGCACATGGCTATTCCACACACAGAAAATTTGTGCACTCAGGAGAACTGTACATCCCAACTATGATAAGTAGGTGCGAGTTACAGAGTAACTCTACACCTGATTACACAAAGTTCTGCTTTCTTTCCCATCCACTTTCTTTGCTGTCTCCTTCCTTGGGGAAGCGAGGTCAATGTGAAGAGAAGCTTGTCATTCTGAATCCATATTTCTCAATGTGTGGCCAGTAGTGACTTTGTATTAGAATTATCTGAGGACTTATTTAAAATATGAATTTCCTCGCTCTGTGTTTCAAATATCTATTGTGAAGGTGACACTTGGACCCTACCTTTTCCCTAGCTCCTTGGGTGATTCTTTCAGACAAGTTTTTGAGTATCTCAACCAAGACAGAAACCTTACTGAAAAGCTGTCTGCATGGTGACTATTAGTAACTTGTTCAGCATTGAGCCAGTTCTGTTTGCTGGTCTTCCTTTCTCCTGAAGAAGTACCTTGAGTACTTTTGACCATTGCTACCTGGCCACCCTTTCCTGTGGCAGCATAAGCCATCAATTTTTTTCCCAAAGCCTTTCATGAACATTTTTCTTGCATTCTCTATGCAATACTATCAGTTTCTTCTCAGCAGGAAAGTGAAAACAGTGTATGGCAGTCACCAATTCTCCATTTGGAACATAGATTGTGAGCAGTCTGCTTGACCTCAAATTCAGAAGCAGGTCAGCAAATTCTGCCTGCAGGCCCTCTGGCATCTCCCTTGCTGCACATACAGAGTCTCTCTAAGTCGTGGGGCTGGCGCTGTGGTCCTATATTTGACCTGAGATGATGGCAGACAGGACGGAAAGGCAGTCCTGGTCCTGCAGTTGAGCCAGGTCTGTAGGTCTCCCTATGTCCTCACCCCAGTGCATGGACATAGAAAAGCAAGCTCTGGAGAAGAGGTGAGGCATCTGTACTGGTTGACATATTGTGTCAACTTGAAAAATTTAAAAGTTTAATAAAGTGGTTCAGCAGAGAGCCAAGATTCTTATATATAAACATCGTCATCCTGTGTAAGAGGAAGGCATGGACATTGTATGAGTTCTCTACCCCCAGCCCCAAGATAGCGTGTTTATAGTATAAGGAGGAGAGAGAGGCTGGCTAGAAGCCATAGCTGCTGCCCTTCCCTTTGCTCTTCACTGTTTTCTGCTGCCATAAACTAGTGCCCCCTGCCCTATGCCACTGTGCCGGAGAGCCAGCCGAGTATGGACTAAAACCTCCACAAACTGTGAGCTAAATAAACCTTTCCTTTCTTAATTTTGGGTGTCAGGTATTTTGTCCCAGCAACAAATAAAAAATACCTAGGACCTCGTTCTATGCTGAGTCTTCATCTGGCCTTGCTTGGCAAAAGACTCAAGCATGTTGTCACTGAACTGAGTGATGATTGTCAGAAAAGTAAAAGACAGAGTTACCATCTGGAGTGGTGTATAGAGATGGTAAATAGGGTCTTTAAAAATAAATGGCACATGTATGTGTAAAAATGAATGCCTGAGTAGGACATGCAGAAGGGCAGGTTGCTGTCAAGTGCCAGGGGAGGCTGCACTGATAAAGAGTAGCTTGAGCCAGACTTAAGGGACACATACACTTGGACTGGCAGACAAGAGTGCAATGGGCTCTTCCAGGTTGATCTCTCGGAATCTGGGGGACACACTGCTGATTTATTAGGGTTCTTCAGAGAGACAGAACCAATCAGGCATACAGAGAGATATAAAAGGCTACTCATTAGGGCATTGCCTCACGTGGTTATAGAGCCTGAGAAGCCCCACACCGGTGTCTGCAAGCTGATGATCCAGGGCACCGGCGGTATAATTCACTGTCAGTCTGAAGGCCTAACATAGCTCCAGAGTATGAGGGCAGGAGGCTCCTCACTTCCAGCAGCACAGAAAGTGACACTTGAACAGAGAGCTAGAACCTCTTATTTCTTTTCTTTTCCTTTCTTTTTTCTTTTTTTTTTTTTTGCGGAACTGGGGATTAAACTCAGGCCCTTGCGCTTGCCAGGGAAGTGCTTATTCTACTGAGCCATCCACCCCGCCCCCCTCTTATGTCTTATCCACAATTCAAATTGGGGAGCTAGGAGGCATGTCCCACCATCATCTCGGAGAGATGGTACCAAGCCTCAAGCTTGAGAAACATACCCTAGTGTGTTGGCCAAGGACACGCCTGTGGTAAGGGCCTGGACTGAAGGGGCAGGCAGATGGGACATAGAAAAGTGCCCAGCAAGGAGAACGTGAGGACTAGGAGAGTCTGTATAGGAGACAAAGGACAGCACCCAGGCTGTTTACACGGAAGGCTACAGTTCAGCTTAGAAGGCTCAGGCTAAATGACCAGGAAAGCTGAAGTGATGGTACTGGTCAGATAATATAAATCACACATTCAGCCATTCACGGGTTCCATATTTTCTGAGTACCTCCTAGGAGGGACTAGTTACACAGAGGAGTAGACTCTTCTTCACTTCAGTTTACAGATACAAGGAAGAGATAGGCATTGACATTTTTTGATAGTTTTACAGTTGCTATCATGGGAGTTTATGTAACGGAGGCAGAAATGACAGAGTAGTCAATTCTGTCTGCCTCTGGGAATGGGTCCAGGAGCACTGCCAGGTAGCCGCATGGGAGCGCCTGGCAGAGGTGAGGTGACTGGGGTGAGGGTGGCTGGGGTCAGGACCCTGGGAAGATTCACAGCTATGCAGGACATGGGCTGGGCAGGGGAAGAATGGGAGCCAGGGGCCAGAGTCTCAGGTGCCAAGAGGGAGATCATCTTCAGCAAAGGACTGACAGAGGACCATAGTTGAAGTTATTAATACCTCATAAGGAGATCTTGCCCAGGTAGTTCAGCCAGCCCATTGTAACTGTCCTAAGTTTAACCATCTCCTGCTCATCCTCCAAGTCGCCTTATATTTCCCTTGTCCTCCCCTGCTCAAACCATAGGCTCCTCCTAAAATTTATTGCTTGACCCTATTTCTGTAACACTGGCTCAGCTTCTCCCATTTTCTATGGTTTTACAGTTTTCCCTCTTTCCTCTTCACCTAAGTACTTCAAAGCTTTCAGGGAAGCAGGGTGTGTTGAAGGCAGGAAAGGAAGAAGGGTGGACAGAGGGTTTAGTTTCTAGGGTCTGACCAGCTCTCATTTTGAAAATGATGCCTGTGGCAAAGTCCAGGTACAATAAAGAATGGGCCCATCCTCTTGGTAGACCCTCCTATCATGGAAACAAGGGGGTCCACACCACTCAGGGAATTTCACTCTCCCTCTGGGAAGACACACTCCATAGTTTCCTAAGTTCCTCACTAGTGGAGGAAATGAAATCAATATGGAGGTAATAAAATCAAGTAACTTACATGTTTTTATAGGTGAAGCTGAACTACTTAGGACAGCTCCTAGATGCTTTCTCTGTGGTCTACATGACATCTTCCCCAATAGCCCCTCTGCTCTTTTGTGTTTCCTTATTCTGTGCCTTGAAATACTCTGGACTCAGTTCCTGCTGGACTCCTACTGAGTTCTGATGTAAATGTGTAGACGAAAGCGCAGAGCTACTGCCCTGCCGAGCACATATTCCCCAGGGAGGGATAGGTGGAAAGGGACACTGGGTTTGGATAAAGCCAATCTGTCCATCCCCTTGACACCTCAGACCTGCCCATTTCAACCCACTCCTCCCATTGCTCTATAAAACTGACTAGACTTCCCTAGAAGTTGTTCTGTAGGCCCAAGGCATGCACTCTCACTCTGACCTGAGTAAAATTTTATGGATGATGTCTTTTGATTTTGTTCTAGAAGATACTAAGAAGACAGAACCAAGCAAAGCCACCACAGAGCCTGAACCAGCCCAGCCGGAAGGGGTGGTGGTCAATGGGAAGGAGGAAGAGCAGTCGGCAGAGGAAATCCTTAGCAGAGGCTTGAGCCAGATGACCACCAATGCTGACACAGATGTTGATACCACCAAGGACAAAACTGAGTCAGTCACCAGCGGCCCCATGTCCCCAGAGGGCTCACCTTCCAAGTCTCCCTCAAAGAAGAAAAAGAAATTCCGAACCCCTTCCTTCCTGAAAAAGAGCAAAAAGAAAGAGAAAGTGGAGTCCTGATTTGTGGTACCCGTGGACTCCCAGCAGCATCCTCTCCTTCCTCCCTCCCCTTTTTCCCAACTCTGTCCCTGGCAGCACAGGGCCAAGGAGGGAAACAATAGGAACCTGGATTACATTCAGAGGGGGAGCTTAGCGATCACTCAACCAATCCCTCATTTTACAGTTACCCCAGAGAAATCAGGTGACTTGCCCAAGGCCACACAGATAGCGGCAGAGCCTGCACTGGAATTCAGGCCTCTGGACTCCCAGTCTAGTGCTCTTTCCATGTTACAACACTGCCTCACTGTGGCAACCTTCATTAGGATGTTGCCTGCCAGTCTGAGCCCAGGGCGAGAAGGTCAGTAATGAACCATGAGCTCTCATCAGCTCAGATTAAATCAGACAGGTTGAGGCTTCCCCTGAGTGAGGTCCATCTCTTCCAGGAATCCCATCATCTATGATGGAGCTATCTCCACGTTAAGAAATCTCACTTCTCCTTTCCACTTTTGGTCCCTGTCCTGTGCTCAAAGTAACCAGATCAATTGACCTACCCCCCATGATATAGAAGTTAATGTTTACTCCCAAGGCTGATGGCTTAGCTTATACTTCCCCAAACACTAACCTTGAGCTTTCTTCATGGAACCTCTTAAATGATGGGTGGAAGAGTTGTAAGAGATGCCTGATGTGAGGGTGACCCATGTAAGTCAATGGCTAGGGATGGTTTAATTAACTTAAGCCAGGAATTGGAATGTTTGTATCGTGCATCTCAAGTGCTTCAAAACTAAAACCAAATTTAGCGTAAGAAATGTTGTCTCATGCTCAGGGCGGAAATTTTGGGAAATTTAAACCCTCTGTTGGCTTTGAGTTGTACAAGGAGGATCAAAATAGCACAGGAAATGCTTTGCTTTTCTAGCTTTGCATGATATACAGCAACGCAGCTGTGCCTGCCTCACTCTTGTCCAGCAGTCAGGTATCCCCTGAGCTTTGCTCAAATCCAGGAGCATCTGCTTGCAGACCAGAACTGGCATCTTACTCTTGGTACCTTCACCTTGGCTCCTTTGGGGTTCCAACTCTGAGTCACTCTGGATCCAACAGAGGAGAATCAGAATGAGTTTTCGGGATTGATCCTCTTGGACCAATGCTCAGAGAAACGCTTGGGTGTCCCCAGCCATGTCATTATCTGTCCATTCTGGACTTGGTGATGCCATACCTATTGTTTGAACTGCCAATGCTTTCCTTTTCATATTTTTCCATGGGACATTGATAAATGAGCATTGTTGGCTCACAGACAATTGATTCTCTCTAAAGCACAGTATGTTCACAGAATATTTCTTTTTTTTTGGCCCTGATTATTGTAAAGAATATTTTTGAGAATTCTTAGTCACAGTTTTCCATTTTTGAGTATTTCCTCTCTGTAGACACTGTGCAGGCTTCATACATGTTCTATCCTCTAATCTTAATGACAAGTCTGTGAGGTAGATAAGACTATTTTTAGTTTAGGAAACTTGACTCCTAAGGGATGAGGAAACTTGACTCCTAAGGGAACTGCTGACTTGCGTAGAAAGAGCTGGAGTCTGGATTTGAACCCCGGTCATTCTGAGTCACGAGCTCCTGCTCTCAGATGCTATGGTGAATGGACAACTTTTACCCTCCAGATGGTCGTTTTAGTCTGTGAACCACTTCAAAGACTTGTCTTTAGTGCAAAAGATCAGGTCTCTACTACAGGTGAAGGTACCTGTGTTCACTCTCACTGATGTACCTTAATCTTCCAGTGAATGTGGACTCAAGAGATGCCAGTGTGGACCTTTGAGAAGAGAGCAAGAAATCCCATCTGCCATTGGCTACTTATAGAGAGGAAGAAAACTGACATGACCAAGGGAAACCTAGAGCAAATTCCTGTCTGCTACCCGGTCCCTTATTCTGTCCTACTTCCTCTTGGGTCACATTTATATGATGGATGGCCCAGGGGCACTGATGTCTCAGAAAAATCTGTCCTGTGGTAAATGCCTTTAAAAGCCAATCCTTTGAGGCCTTCTTTAAAAACATTATTTCACATTTATTCATTCATAATATTGGTTAAGCATCCACTTGCATCAGGCATTATGTTGACACTGAAAAAGCAACCATTGTAACTGGAATAAGAAGTGGCAAATGATGTGGAGACAAGGGAGGGATGGCTGTGACCTCTGACACAGCATCGGGTGCTTGTTGCTCAGAGATGATGTCAAACAACTCTGTACTTAACAAATTATCTGTATTCCCTTTGTCACACGGAGGCTTCATTTAGGTAAAATTTTTGGAACCTTGCTAGAGCATCATCCTTGGAATTCAGGCCATGAGTCCACTTTATGTTTACCAATTTGTTCCTTCCTTGTATACTCAGAAAACCTGCATGGAGCTCGGATCATGGGGCAGGTATAAGAGAAGAATATAGTTCCAGATGTCAGAAATTCTGTGACTCTAGGTCTGTAGACATATTACATGACAGATAGGGGTGCCAAAATGGCATAGGAAAGCAATGATTCACTGTCTTGGGTACCAGAGAAACCTTCCTAAAAGGAGTGATGGATGAGTTAGGTTTTCAAAACAAAGAGGAACCTTTCCAGAGCAAAAGAGCTGGCAGGGTATTTGATAATGCGGGAAGAATTCACAAAGGTATGAACACACCCCCTAGTGTGCTCCTCTGGACGCTGTGGTATTGCCAGGGTAAGAAGTGTCAGGTAGGGTGTGGTTCTGTTCTCAGAGCATAATGAATCTTATAGAAAGAACAGAGGAGATAGACTTCATTGTGTAAGGGGTTGGGAACCAGTTTCTTGGGGAGACTTACTCTGTTGAGTCTTTTGTTAGCTGAGTAGGAAATGGGCTAGAGGTGTGGAAGATGTGATGTGGCTTTTCTAAAATGCCAATACCAAAACAGAGTTGATAACCTGCCTGCATTATCCTCCTTAGTAAATAGTAAGTTTCCAGCCCAGGTTTCCTCTTTATGAAAGTTTTTGGGCAAGGCATCTTAAGAGATATTTTCAACAAGGGACGGAAATATTCAAAGAGCTAATGCTTAGAAGACAGTTCCAGATGCTATTTTATTTTGGTATAGAACTGCTGGGAGGGGTGTTGAGTCATTGCAGGGCCATGAGTGCTACTCTAGAGGGAGCACACCAAATGCTATTGAAACAGACCTGCAGGGTGAACAAAACCATAGGCTATGGGAGAGAAAAGAAAGGGCATTCTCCATAGCACTGCATGAACACTGGCTGAAAATCTAATGAGCATCTGATAATGAGATATTGAGTATTCATAAAGTCAGAATTTATAGGTGATGGGCTCATTTTGAGTTGAGTCTCCAGTGCTTGGACATGCACAGAGAAGAGATAAAGAAAATTTGAACAATCTGTTGTGCTGTAAATGGCATGCAAAGGGGAGGGGTTTCAGAACCTCTTTCCCTGGCAAAGTGGACAGGAGTAAGGATAGAAATGAAGAGGGATGAGTGGTTATAGGGAGACAAGTTTGGCTCTGATGACTGCATGTATTAGTAACTGATACCCAGGTGTAATGTTTGAGAACCATCCACCTCACACGATCTGCTCTTCACTGAGAGCACTGTGAAACAGACCCTTGCTGCAGCCCACAGCCTCTCAGCTTGCAGCTGACCCAAGTCACTGTCCTGCTTCAGCCAAGTGGTACCCATGAAAATGACCCCCACAAACACTTCTATAACCAACACAAGGTTCTTCCTCTGTGGACAGCCAAGTTCTTTTGAAAGGACTTGGTAGGGATGAATTTGAACGAGTGACAGTAGGGTCTTACAGTAATAATTCCATTGTAAACCATTGCCCTGTGCCACCAAATCTCATATGCCGAGCCTTAAATCCTGTCCCCTGTTGGATAACACATTCTCACTCATGGTAATGTGACAAGTCAGTCACTCAGATATTTGGCACTACCGTAACAGAGGGCCACTGCCCTTGTCAACATGGCTGGAATGCTGTGTAACCACTTCTTTGGTTGCTGTGGATCTGAAAGAACCATTTGCTCAGTGATGTGATGCACTTCTAAAAGTCTAAAAGATCAAACACAGGTTTGGACTTTTCCAGGAAGATGTGCACAAGGATAGAAAGCCACAGCCTACCATACTAGTAAACCATATTTGAATTGTAGGTCCTAATTTTAGGCCCAAGAGGAAACTGATGTTGGCTTCAAACAGATGTGAAAATATTCACACCTACTCATATTACACACGTGGGCCGGTGGGTGCCCTTGGATGGCCAGCACAACTGTAGTTGGCATGAGGACGGGTGGAAAGGTCTTCTTATGTCTTTGCTTATTGCGGAGCCCAGCTGAACACTAGGATTATCACATGCAGAGTCTGAGGAGAAACAAGGAAGAAGATAAACCCACACTGTTCAGTCCCACAGAAAGGACAAGACACTCCACAAGTCAAAACCTAACAGGGCATCCTTTCTGTTCTATTCCTGCCTCTCACACTGAGAAGCCACAGTCACCCAGGAGTCAGGGTAGAGAGCTCGGGTTGGTGTTCCTTGTTGGAGAAGTTACCTTTCATCATTTTTATGTAGACAGTTCCCTGGAGAAGGTAGGCTTCTTGGGAACAGTAATAATCTCCAGGTGGGGGAGTGTTCTTAAAAACACATAAATACTGGTTTGCATTGATTCACACTTAGGTGGTAGTAAGTTGTACCTTGATGTTTGGCGCCACTTGCCTTCAAGATCTTCCCCAAGTTGCATCATTGCTATGAGAAACTGGGGCCTAAAGATGCAGAAGGAAGATCATGATTGATAGCAGGAGGAATTCAGCATCGGCCTTGGTCATCTGAGAAGGCAGCACTGGTCATCCTGGTAGGCAGGTCCTTAGCTCCTTCCTCAGCCTGTCCCCCCAAGAATCAGGATGTGCTCGTTGTGCGAGGGCATTTCCCTGGTCTCTAAGAAGAGTAATGAAGACATTTCTAGGGCTTAAGGGGTAATTGGAGGACAGGTCTAGGAAGACCCTAAACTCCCCTCCCCTCCAGCAAATCATCTTATATAACTTTCAAAAACCTAAAGGCCAGATACTTCCTCTTAAAGTGAGGCAGAAAGGGGGCAACAGTAGGACCAAGGACAGAGGAGCCACACTTGAACAACATACTCCTTCTGCAGCAGCAAATATATTTTGGGGTGCCCCAGCCCCTCATTTCAACACCACCCTTCCTGCTGCACTGTTGATTGCCCTATTGGCCCTGCTCTGTGGTGATTATTTGATACCCCAGGACTGGTCCACCTTTAATTCCCATGATATACGACACCCACTGAGTCCCAGAGTTTGCCTTCTCCAAGGAAGATGTGAGGTGGGGAGCCTCACAGCCCAGAGCCTAGGGTGACCCGGCTGGGGTAGAGGGTAGCAGGAACCCCGCCTAGGTGGGGAATGCAGTGTTCTTTAAAGCTGTGGATGGTTTCAGTGAGATGTCTGTGTCCGACAATCGTCATGCAAGAGTACTAATTGTCTTCCCTTGTACATACATCGTCTGTGTTTAGTTTTTCTTAGTATTGTGAGGTTTCAAATAGGGGTTCCATGTAAGTATTTGTTCTGCTACTAAAATGCCAGCCCCCTGGGTCACGCACCACTCCCACAAATGGTTTTGCCTTTCTCTGTGCTAACACTTTTGAGCCATTGATGTGCAAATGGATGGTTAATCTCCTGGGCTTTTATTTTGCAATTTTATATATATATATGCACACACATATATAATATATATATATTATATATATATTTATGGGTTGGTTTTGTATAGTTTTCTGTTTGAATCTCTGAGCACCAAAGCTGCCCTTTGATTTTCACAAGAACTTTCCAAAGCCACTTCTTGAGCCCTTTTGCTGCTTTGGTGTCTGACTGTGTTGCTGGGTGGTATGTCTGCCCGTGGGTTTCTGTATGTATGTGCTGTTATCTCACTTGCAGGTATTACCCTAGTAAATCAAACATGCTTGGCTTCCTGGTGTGTGTGACCCATCTCTGTTGGCTATACTCAGTTCTCTAGATCCAGGACGCTGAAGCCAGAAAGGGGGATCCATTTATTTATTTGTTTGTTTTTTTGTTTGTTTGTTTTTGAGATAAGGGCTTAGTTTTTAGTTCAGGCTAGCCTTGAACGCACTTTGTTGCTCAGGCCGGCCTCGAACTCTTGGCAATCCTTCTGCTTCAGCCTCCAAAGTGCTGGGATTGCAGGCGTGCACCATCACACTGGCAGGGGGGTTGATTTATGGAAACACTGACCACTCAAGAAGCTCTCACCCTTGGGACTATTCTCACATGTGGAAAG